ACACACCATCAGGTACACACACCATCAGGTACACACACCATCAGGTACACACACGTGCACACACACACACCCTCCCTCCTGCAAACACACGCACCTCAAACAACAATCAATTCACTAAGATGTCAGCTTTTAGGTCCATTTTAATCCAATTTTTTTCCTTTTATTAAGGCATATATACATAGATCATGAATACATTTATGCCTGTGTGAGATTCCATGTTCAATCCACTTTTAATTTACCTTAACAGAACAATGACACAGAAAAGTAGACAAATAGAAGAGTAGGGTTCATGAATTTTTCACTATTTCTGTGGTTTTTCATTTGTTGACCGCATTAAACATAGCATTTTCCCTTGCCATTAAATATTCTTTGAAATCCTAAATTTTCCTAGCCTGAGCAAGAGCAAGACCACGTCTCCACAAAAAATAGAAAAACTAGCCAGGTGTTATGGTGGGCACCTGTAGTCCCAGCTACTCTGGAGGCTGAGGCAGAAGGATCACTCAAGCCCAAGAATTTGAGGTTGCTGTGAGCTGTGATGCAACAGCACTCTATCCAGAGTGACAGAGTGAGACTGTCTCAGAAAAAAAAAAAACTGGCTCAGCACCTGTAGCTCAGTGGTTAGGGTGCCAGCCACATACACTGGGGCTGGTGGGTTCGAACCCAGCCCAGGCCTGCCAAACAACAATGACAGCTACAACAAAAAAATAGCCAGGTGTTGTGGCAGATGGCTGTAGTCCAAGCTACTTGGGAGGCTGAGGCAAGAGAATCACTTAAGCCCAAGAGTGTGAGGTTGCTGTGAGCTGTGACAACACAGCACTCTATGAGGGGGACATAGTGAGTCCCTGTCTCAAAAACAAAAACAAAACAAAACAAAAAAACCCCTACATTTTCATTTCTACATAACATTCCATCATATGAATTCACGTATTTTGCTTTCCAACTCTCATGCTAGACACTCCAGGCTGTTCTGGAGTGTTCTCACATATTATGAATAGCTCAGCACGGAACATCCTTATTCTTAAATCTCTGTCCACATTTCTGAGGATAAACTGCTGATGTAGAAACCCGGGTCACAGGGTATGATCACCCCAGGAGCCCTGAAGTGAGACTTGGGCTTCACAGCTCTCCTACCCCCCAACTGTGAGCTCGTTCTTGCTTTCCCAGGGGTCTCACTTTACCCTCAGCTTTGCTTAGGGGGACCCTGTGTCCTTCGAAAAACAGTTCCTCACCTGAACTGTTCCTTCCCACTGGTTCCCCACTGTGACTCCCACGGGGGGCCCTGCCTTGGGCTGCCAGGCTGAGTGCACATCCCAGCCGGGGGCCTGCCAGGCACCCCCACTTTAGTCTTGAAGACAAGGTGCTGTCTGCTGCAGCTGGCAAACAACACCCTGCTTTTGCAGCTACAACCACAGGTTCCCCCAGTGGACCCCCCAGCTTTTCTGCTTTCCCCCTCCAAGAGGCAGGAGATGAGGGGAGGCTGGGCCCCTCCAGGCCTTGGGCTGAGGTGCCCAGGTGGTCAGAACATGAGCCTCATTGCATGTGTCCCTGGGCCACAGGGGCACAGCTGTTTTACCTGCAGGTGTCCCCCTGTTGGAAAAGTACAAGTGACCATCTGAGAACTTGAAGAGAGCCCTGGGGAGGGCCAGAGCAGTGCTTGCTAGATGGCAGCCAG